CCTGAGTTTTCCTCTGGGTGCTCTGTTTTCCTCTCACAGTCCAAAGACATACTGGCAGGTTTATTGGCTTTTGGCACAATTGGCTCTGGTGTGAGTGTGCTTGTGTTTACCCTGCGGAGGACTGGTTTCCTGTCCACCCATTAGGCTCCAGTTCCCCTGTGACCCTGAATTGGAAGAAGCGATTGTAAAACTAAGAAGATGTGTGTTTTGTAGAAAACATGATGATAAACCTGGGTTGAAATGTTAAAATGCTGCCGCGTTTCTGACAGCAGGAAAACTTTCTTTGGCTCCGATGAGGAATTCCTTGCTGCTGTGAAAGATGTGAACACTCGCATCAACACGTTTTCCAGTTAAATATTCATTATCTAAGCACACAACAGCCCGCTAAGTGCAGTCTTGTACTGTTATTATTTGACTAAACATGTTGTAGATTCAAATTTAAATCCTGCCAAAAATGGCCAGATGGGCTGAATGGTTTTCTCTCATTTGCCGCCTTTCTTATGTTCTTCTCTCACAATCGATCTAAACTTGCCTGATTCCATCACAATCTTGCCTCTCAATTCTTGATTATGGTGGAAAGTGCCTAGACCTAGAATAGAGCTTTTTTTTGGTTGGCTAGTATGATTTCACAGAATCTTGCCCAGCTAGCAAGACAGGCGCTATAAAGAAGGACAAGGATACTGCAGAAAGCCTGACTTCGTTAACCCAAAGCTAAACAGTAGCTGTTTTTGCTATTAAGCAGGTCTGTCCTGCAGTAGCTTAAAGGTAAAAGCATTTGATTTTCTAATTAAAAATCAATATTTTAATCCTTAGTGTTTCTATCATCTTGCATTTTTTGGAAGTGAGAAGAGTTAGGACTACCTCTTTACAATTGTACTCTGCAAATGAAAATGCATTGGAGAAAGCAGGAGCTTTTTAATAATTATCTTGGAAGAACATAGTACATTTACAAATGAAAGGCCGTTTAGTCCATGGTGCTCATTTTGTCGCTCCCATTTTACTAATCTACGGATCTAGCCAAGCTGATTTTTTTAAGGAGCCCCCTGAATCTGCTTCAGTAACGTGTGGTCAGTTTGTTCCATGCTCCCACAGCCCCAGGTGTAAAAGCGTACCGCCTATTTTTCTTTCACTCTCTTTTAATGCACTCACTTCTAGTTTCCATTTGTGTCTTTGGATCCTTGTTTCACTACTAGTCCTAAATTATGTCATTATTATCAGAACAGAAGTATGAGTGTTCAAGGTGTGAAGAAATTGAAGAACAGTAGAGGTAATTGGTAATTGCAACCAGCGTACTGCAGTCTTGGAGGTTTCTTCTCCCTCATTTCATTTTCTTTGTGTCGATGGCGTTTAAGCTGGGCTCTTTCCACAGCATGTCCACCCACACTGCACAACCTTGTATT